ACACGCACCAATGGTAAAGGAGACGCAACCTCTACGACGTTCGGTGACCGGTCCGAACCACTGATCTCTAATATAATAGTAGAGTTCAGTGGTCCGAACCGAGGCGACGACAAAGCCTCGGTCGACGGCCAGGAATTTAAAAAAAATCTGTTAAGTGTTCATGGGGAGAGTTTTTATGACTTAATTTGGTCCTAAATATGCTTTTATAATACCACAATATTAGGGATTGGCAATCAAAATAGCGTTATTTGGATAGGAAAATTATTATTGTTTTATTTTTATTTTATTTTTGGTCCGACGACCTAGTCGTTCGTCGGACGACAGGTTGGTCCATGCCTGTCTGATGGGTGGGCAATGCCCCTACCCCAACCCCCTACCGCCGGCGCCAAATCTGACTTTGATCGCCTAGGTCTAGGAAATAAGCCTAGGCCTACTTGGTGTGTACTATTTTCATTACTTTTTTAGGTCTCTCTATGTATGAGGTATATAAAACAAATATTGACTGCTCAGGAGTCGGGGAACGGTGAAATTAGCCCCTCGGTGGTGTGGAAACCGTAGCCTATCTTCCCTCGGTCCTTCGGCCCTCGGGAAGATAGGCTACGGTCTCCACATCATCCCGGGGCAATAGATTTCACCATTCCCATCATGAGCTGTCAATATTTGTGTATATTGTACCATTTGAACCATGAGAGGAAGACTGATAAGTATAATACTCTTGTTTCAGAAATTAGAAATAAAGGGCCGCGCATTGCTAATTATATTGTATTGAAGTTTGGAGTAGGCGTATACTAAGAAATGAAAATATAAAGCACCTTCACGAAATTTTTAAAGTCAATAAACAGAAAATCAAAAAGCTTAAACCAGTCAAATGCCTAGAATTTATGTAGGCCTATGCAGTATATTAATTGCATTTTGAAATGTTGCCAGAAGAAGAACGCTAAGAAAAGAGAACCCAGTCTGCCTATGGCTTACTATTAATGAAACACAAATTGCTAAATTGAAAAAAATACAAGATACTTAAAAGTTAATTGAAAGTTTCATTAAATAACATAATTATTGCAAGGGTTAATCAGCTTCAAGTTTATTTCATGTTGTAAGGAATAGGCAAAGTACATCATTACCGGTGTGGCTTACCTACTAAACTACCTGTTAAAAAAGTGTAATTGCTGATAGACTCATTTTAAAACGATTAGTCTTTACCTTAGGGTGAATTAATCTACAAGATTTACCAGGAGTAATAGCATCATGGATTAGATGGGGAACATCAGACATTATGCATTGTAAAGTTGATGAATTGATTATGTAGAATTGTAAGCCTACTTTCAGATTAAAGTGCGCTCTCTGTCTTATTTTGGTCCTTTGGGTCATGGTTAGCAGGAGGTTTCATGTTGATCCAAAACTCAAACTTTTATTTTCAAAGAGTTATTTTAACTCCAAAGGAGTTATTCTGTACCTAATAGACCTAACTCTTTTGTAGTTAAAATTACTCCTTGAAAATAACAGGGCATTAATAAATGTGGAAATGAATTTATTTATTTTATATTTTGTATGATGGTATAATTTTTAAAAAAATAACGTCTGATCCTCGCCAAATACAATGTAATGCCGATCAATATTTTGCGTGTAGAATCGTTTAGGTTATAATTTTTAAGTATTTAGTAGTGTAATATTATGAAGTAGTATTATATTAGAACAAACAACTAAAATATTATATTATAAATATATTTGGAAGTTTATAACTTGTTTGATTATATTACAATAAGCATTTCAATGATATAACTTTTAAGGGTTGCAGCTCTAGCGACAGAGAGTAGTTTCATATTTTTATAGTAAACTTTAGTATCTATTAATTTTATCATTCTTTGTTTATTTATTTGTTACTACCTATTTTTAACTATAAAATGCCACCCACTAATTTAGCTTTTTTTTTTGCAATACGGAATCGCCTATTCACACTTTAAATTAAATAACAATCAGGGTTTTATAAATTGTTAAAAATAAGAATATGGCAGGCTTACCGCTTTGAGCTTCAGTTCCCGTGTTATGGTATCAAATTTACGTATAAAATGTTTACCTGCTGTCTGAAACTAGATTAGCAAATGACGTTCCTTATTCGAATCCGGTATATAAATGGTTCATATTGTACGGTAAAGAATAATAATAAATTACAGACGTATATCAAAATTATTCTACTCTTTATCCTGATTAAATCATACATAATATACATACTGATGCAAATAATATCCGAGTTTATGGAAATGGATTGATCCATATTTTGATGAACGTACTATATATTTTACTGGCAGAGAAAATTATTGTGTAGTTGTCATGGTAAATATTACGTTAATAGTCACTGTGCATCATTTGTAAATACTATAATACTTTGATGTTTAGTGATGTGTTCGTACATTATTTATTTACATGAGAGCTATTTTTTAGCTTTATATTTTTAGATTTTTGGATATTTCTTCTGATATTTCACTCGCCCATCATGTTTTCAAAACCACAGAATGCTGTATTTTTGTACGACGTTGAAGGCAATATTCGGCAAACTGGGCTGTCATGATATCGGTGAACTAGATTCTGGAAACCAGGTTTCGGCAAAGTGGTTTCGACAGACTGGTCGAATACGTAAATTACTACTCTAACTACTGAAAAGAATTCGTTCAAACAGCTAGATCGTTCGGACAATTTTTGTCATTTGAAGAACGAATGTGGAGGCATATGTATGGTAGGTCAAGTCCGCCAAAAATCGACTATCCACATCATTCAATGAAAACCCAAACCATTCAACACAAAGTCAAGCGTAGGCTAGACAAAACATTACCTACAAAAAAAAAAAAAAAAAAAAAAAAAAAAAAAAAAAAAAAAAAAAAAAAAAAAAAAAAAAAAACTATTAATTTAAAAACAAACCGTCGAATTAATAATCTTTAAAACATAATTCTATTCGTTCATAAAAATAATTTCTAAACTTAAGCAAAACCTTGCTAATAAGACTCAAACTGTTCAACAGACAAGGAGCAGCACCAGTACAAGTTATTTATTCAATAATTTACACAACTTTTCGTGAGTCGAATAACCTAAAATCGAGACACCTAAAGTCGAACAACGTAAAGTCTAACAACCAGAGTCGAACATGAAGTCAACCAACCTAGAGTCGAACACCCCAAAGTTGAACAACATAAAGTCGAACAACATAAAGTCGATTAACTGGCCCCGAACATGTCTCATGAGATATGAAACCCAAGCATTGAGAGGCCCGCGAGCAGACAGTTATGTGATCTAAAGGTAAGATTAGATAATAGTATAACACCAGCAAATAACTTTGCTTCATTAACAAAATTGTATTGCTGGTAAACCAAGAATTGTGTTGTTGGGATCTAGGGTAAGAAAATGAAAAGTTATAGCAATTCAAAATTTACGAATTTTATAAAATTTCATGTTCTTATGTAACATTAATCTGTCATTTTGACAATGTTGGCATAAGGTGCCGAGGACGAACAT